ATTAAGGAAATCTTATACTCTTTTGCGAATTACTTATATTTAAGGCAACGACGTGCTTTACGTATAGCAGCCTTACGTAGGTTACGTATAACAGCTTTACGTAAGTTACGTGTAGCAGCTTTACGTAAGTTACGGGTAGCAGCCTAGCTGCCTTACGTGTAGCAGCCTTACGTGCGTTACGTATAGCAGAATTAATAGCGGTGGCTAAATTAGGCTTAGCTATTGTACATGAATTAAACGGGCCGACTCGTTCCGAAAAAAGTTCAATAGATTAACATAGAATAAAAGTCTTGGCACGCTCAGAAATCTTGCCAGATCCGTATAGAATAATCTTACGTGACTGGATGATCAACCATTACCATAACTACTGGAATTTATCTTGGGTCACCGTAGGTGACAATAAAAAAAACCTATTCTTTCTAATAACAGTTCACTTTCGAATACACGTAATTAAGCACGCTTAAAATAAAAAAACAATTTCGATTAAGAAATAAAAAATAACCGTATAAGCTTAAAACAAATGAAAAATAAACAAATAATAAGAACAATTTATATAAGACAAGTGAATAGCTAATAAAGTAAAAGGAATAAGAAAAGAATAAAGAATACAATAAAAAGCAAGTCTAAAAGTAAAAGAATAAACGTAAGAAATACTTTTTTTTATTAAAACAAAGAAAGTAATTATTAAAAGCACGTCCTTTTATAAAATAAGTGTAAAACAAAGAAAGGATAAGAAAGTAAGAAAACAAAAGTTAAAAGAACAAACTAAGAAACAGTTTTATAAGCTAATTTTTGTTCTTTCGAAAGTGTTAGAAAAATGATTTAGAAATTAATAGACTTAAGTTTAAAAATTACTTTTAAATTAAGTAATTCATTTTTGTCGTCGTCGGAAAGCTTATATTTATTAAAGTCCGAGTTATTTAAAAAGCTCGAATCTTCTTTTTCTTTTTCTTCGTCGTCGTTAAAAAGAAAAAAGGTTTGATCGCGGCGATAGAATCGTTTAAAACGATTAGCTGTAAAAGTGCTTTTAAGCTTAGTTTTATCGGTTTTTTAAAGTTTATAATATCTTTTATCGTAAGCTTTAAAAACGATATAAAGTCTTAGCTACTTATAATCTAGCTTAATATCCGCGGACATATCGATGCTACGTTTAACGTCGTAAAGCAATATTAAATCTTTCTTTTTAATAAGTTCCGACTTTAAGACTTTAATTCGTTTTTAAATAACTTTAGCGGCAAGTCGATAACGCTTTTTTTTTAAAATAATCTCGTCGATATTATGGTGGAGTTGCGGCCTTGTATTTGTTTTGTCCATGTATATAGTACTGATGTTAAGCACCTTTATCACGTAGGTGCGCTGCATGCTTTAGCCTTGCTAAGCACGTGGTTAAGTCACGTGCAAGCTCTTATATAAACGAGTAATTGGTTCTTCTTTGAACTAGCATTATATTACTACACAATACAATACACGTACTTATAGCATACATTTGAGTGTCCTTCGATCGTCCTTTTTTTCTTTTCTTATTTACTTACGATTTTATTATAGCTATATTCATATATATCTCTTGATTTAACGTTAGGTATATATCGAAACTCTTCTTTTCTATATATATTTAATAACTTACGCAAAGAATCGAACTAAAGGTTAGTCTTTATACCTTCTTTAGACTTGCTTCTTTTACGAAAAGCTATATATTCGAAGTTCATATTATACGCTAAGCTATTAACTATATGCTTTTACGGTGCTCTTTCGAAGAGTATTCGATATACGCTAAGCTAATAGTTAAGTGCTTTTGCATATAAGCTTCGAAGCTATTGCTTTAAAAGCGATCTTCTTTCGATTTATGTCCGTCGAGCATACTATTCGATATACTCGATAAGTATTATTTAAAAAGTCGTTACTTTAGTTCGGAGATCGAGCTAGCTAAAGTTCAATTCGATATTTATAAAGTTCTATTCACTTAAGCTACTTTGCATAACGATACGCTCGAAGTATTATTCGTTTAATATACTTTACCTTTTCGATTTAATATCGATTTTAATTAGGCTGCTCCATGGGGCCCCATGGGGCCCCACGGAGTTTTGGGTCCTCCCCACGGGGGAACCTACGGGGGGTACAAAATTCTGCCCTTCCTTATGGGGAAACCTCATAAGGCGTAGGGTTACTCTATAGGGTTTATATATATAAAAATATGCATATGCATAATTATTAATCAGGTTTACTAATCACATTTACTAATCACATTTACTAATCACATTTACTAATTACATTTACTAATCACATTTACTAATCAAAGACTTAAAGTATTAGTTAAATTTACTAGTTATAAAGGCTTAAGGGTTGGTAAAGACCCGTTCTTTAGCTTAAGTCTACTAGTTATAAAGAGTTGATAAAGACTCGTCTTTTTACAGTTACGTAGAATACGTTTAACTCGGTTTCCGCTTTTAGCTTAAGCTTTTGCTTGTAAGCATAGTTCAAATAAATCTCGTTTAACTCAAGTAGCTCTCTTAGCTTTTAGCACTTGTTGCTTTACTTAAACTCATTTTTATCCGAGAACTTAAAGGTGAAGCGTTTGTATGCTAAAGTGCTATCGATAGTAAAGAAGTATAGCATCAATAGCTTTTTTAAGATGCTTTTAGCTTTAGCATAATCGCTATCGAAAAGCTTAAAAGTAAGATCACTTAAGATCAATCGAACCTTGACATCCTTATAAGTGAATTGCTTTTTAATTAAGTTAAAGAAAGAGACAAAGTGGTTGAGGAGATAAAAGACTTAAGCGCTCTCTTTCTAAATAAAAAATCAATTAGTGATTATAGAATATAAATGTTATTATTAACTTTGTTAGCACCGTAGTGCTTGATGCCGAACTTATCGACAAAACCTTTGCGACCTTTCTATTCGTAATCGAGGCCGATTAGTCTTAGAAACAAAGCGGTATCTTCTTCGTTATAGCAAGTAAACATTGAATTAATAACGTTACTATTAGTATAAACGATTACGAAATCCTTATAACGACTAAGTATTTCGTTGATTAGCTTATTGCTACCGGTGCTAAAAGGGTTGACCTCGATCATAGCGTTATAAGAGAGAGGAATCGATATTGCTAAATAAAGAAAATAATTAGCTTGAAGCAAAGAATTAAAAAGCAAAGAATCAAAAAGAAAATAATTACTTAAGTTGAGTGTAGTTGTAATTGAGTGTTAAAGTTAGTTAAGAAGTTAAGTGTTAAAGTTGAGAAGTTAAGTGTTGAAGTTGAGGTTGAGAAGTTAAGTGTTAAGGTTGAGAAGTTGAAGTTAAGTATTGAAATTAAGGTTGAGAAGTTGAATAGAAAGTAATTGTAATAATAATAAAAAAAAGAAAAGGAAAAAAAAAAGAGCGAGTACTTATATAAAAATAAAAGTATAGCTTAATCGTAATCGAAGCATTGCTTCGATTTATTAAAGGTGAATTATAATATTTGAAATAATGAATCGACGCGGAACAAAGAAAATAACGCGTTTTGAAACAATAAATCGACGCGGAACAAAGAAAATAACGCGTCGCTTAATGATAATCGCAATGCCTCGATTCAATAAAAGTGAATTACAATATTTAAAACACGAACTCGACGCGGAACAAAGAAAGAACGCTTCGCTTAGTAAATCTAATTAGTAAATCTAATTAGTAAATCTGATTAATAAATCTGATTAATAAATGCTGCACGGAAAGAAACTTTGCATGTTGCACGTCCTTTTGCTATACGTGCTTAGCTCAGCTATAGCTCGGCTATAGCTCGGCTATAGCACGTGCTTTACCGTACGTAATCTGATTAGTAAATCTAATTAGTAAATCTGATTAGTAAATGCTATATAAAAAGAATTAACGTACTTAAGGCTGCTATACGTAACTTACGTAAAGCTGCTACACGTAACTTACGTAAAGCTGCTATACGTAACTTACGTAAAGCTGCTATACGTAACCTACGTAAGGCTGCTACACTTAACGTACTTAAGGCTGCTACACGTAACCCACGTAAAGCTGCCATACGTAACTTACGTAAAGCTGTTACACTTAACGTACTTAAAGCTGCCACACGTAACTTACGTAAAGCTGCTATACTTAACGTACTTAAAGCTGCTACACGTAACCTACGTAAGGCTGCTATACGTAGCGTACGTAAAGCTGCTATACGTAACTTATTCGTAAATTATAATTCACGGGCTATATGGCTTTACGAATAACTTAACTTTATTAAAAGACTTAATAGTTATAAAAAGAATTAGCTCTTTTAAAGTTTAATAAAAGTAATACTTATAATTAAAGAAATTACGTGCATTAGCTAACTAAAAGGTTTTATAATCAAGTTAAAAGTCTTTTAATTAATATAACATTTTAAGCGAAGCATGCTAATTGACCCGTGAACCATGGTTTACGAGTGAACTCTTTTTTTAACTACTACTACCGGTATTCTTAGCTAGCTAGTTAAAGTCGATATAAATATATTAATAATAATAAAAAAACTAAAGATATCGATAAAAAAAAATTTAATTAATTATTGTAATCAATTGTAAACAAATAAATATAAAAACTTAATAATACAAAAAAAGCAATTCAATAAATAAAATCAAAGTCGCTAATTATAAAACCTAATAAGAGCGATACTTTTTGCAATTAAACGCTTAATTCTAAAAGAAGCTTCTTTCCTTTTATCTTGTATTAATCCCGCTTTATTATCTTCTTTTTCTTCTATTCGTTTACGCTTTAAAGTTGATAATAGATTTGTAATTCGTTCGCTTATAAAAGTATTAGATTTAAAGTCGTTAAACTTATATATAATAATCAACTTATTTTAACTTTAAATAACGATTAAAAAAGTTTTAAGTTTCGAAATACTAAGTTTCGAAGTTTAAGCGGCATTTAAAGTTCTATAAGATAACGAAGCCGAGTCCGGTATTTTATCAGCTTTTTTTCTACTTATTATTCTTTTATTACTTTGCTTAAAGCTTAATTTTTCTTTTGCGTTAAAATAATTTTATTAAGAAATATTATTCGAATCGTTTTAATTACATAAATTTGCTATCGCTAATATTTAAATTAGAATTTATATTTAAATAAAAGCGTATGTTATATAATATCGTATTTCGTTGCATTTTATTTTTGTAATTTATATAGCGTTCAAAGCTAATCGATTCGTTCGTATCGTTCGAATCTGAATTTTTTAAATCGTTTTCGTTTTTTATATTATTAAGAACGTTTTAATCTGTATTATCTTAAGTTTGCTTATCGGAAAGTAAATCTGTAGCTACTTTCGATTGATTTACTTTGCTTGGTTTTCTTTATAAAGAATATAATCGATTTGCTACGACTTTGCTTTAAGAAGCGGAAGAATGCGCTTTGTATAATCTTATATGATAATGAGTAAATCGATTAGTAAATCGATTAGTAAATCGATAAAAAGTAAAAATATCGCAAGTAAATTAACTTACTTTTTAAATGCTTTTCGTAATTTAAAGACTTTCCGTAACGTAACTGTCGTATTTTAAACGAAACATTTTTATTAATATTTTAAAACCTATTTAAGTTCTTTTTTATTAAATATAATTAATAAATATTTATAAAATCAATATTATTTAAACTTACGTGATTCTCGTATTTTAGCTTTTAATATTATCAACTTAGCTTTTCGTTGCTTAAAACTTATTGTTCGAAAGTCTTAATCGATCGTAAGATTATCGCAAGCGAAAATATATTTAAAATAAAATAAGCTTTAAAATTAACGATTTTGCTATTTTTAAAACTTTTATACTTTTTATTCGAACTTTTTTTTAAGCTAATCTTTATTGAAATTATTATAATTTATTAAAATCGATTCGAATAAGTGTCGAGCTTTATTTAAGCGAGTATTACATATCTTGAAATATAAAGCAGTTATTTTTTTTGCGATTGTTAATAACGATAAATTATCGCGATGATAATCGCAAATATCTTTTGCAATATTAAATACTTTTTTTACGCAAATATTAATTAAAAAGATGCATAAAATTTTTTTAGCTATTCGAGCTAGATTAAAGTATTAAAGCTTAAAGTTTCGCTAAGAAGTTAAAATCTTTCGTCCGTCGACCGTTAAACTCAATTAATAAAAATCAATAAAATTAAAGTTTCAATTGAAATTTCAAACTTACGAGCTAAAAGATAATCATGCACTTTTAACGACTCGTGATTTGTATCTTCAAAAAAGCTTATAAAAAAGAACTTCATATTAATTTACCGCGAAGTAATAAAGCGGCTATCGGTTAACGATCGATTGCTTTAATATTATCAATACGTTAAGCTATAAATATTAAAGACTTATAATGTTCGTTAAAAAGCTTTTCGAATCTCGTTCGATATATTGCAAATCAATTTTTACTTTCGTAAAGCTGAAAAAAATTTAAGTCGAAAGTCTTTAGCTTAATAGTAAGATATAAGATTATCGCGAAAGCAAAAATATCTTTTAGCGGCTTTTGTGTTTTTTTATAATACTTATTTAATTTCTCGATAGCATTAATAACGCTTTCTTTTAATTGCAAGATCTATTTAAAATCATTGCGATCTTCTTTCGAAATTTTTATATATTTAAACTTTAATCGTGCTTGTGTTTTATTTAAACGTTCGAATATTTTAATCGAATATTAAAAATCCGTATTAAATAATAAGATTAAGCTCTTTACTTAAGTGTATAGTTAAAAAGTGAAACGGTCGAAAGATATCGATTAGCTATAAGATTTGCTTTTATTAAGTACCAGGGCAGAGGACCAAATTCTTTGTAGTGTCACTAACGGGCTAATTACTCATTAGTATATTATTAAATTAGATTTTTATATAATTAATAATTAGCCCGTTGATAATATTATATC